CACATAATGCAAATACATATATAAATATATATATTTATATTAAACACATAATACAAATACACATATAAATATATTTATTTATATAAAACAAACAACAAATAAATATATATATTTATATAAAACATATAACACAAAATTATATTAACATTATATATTATACAATATAATATATATATAACATATATAGTATATACATAATAACAAATCTAATATAGATATAATAATATATATAATATAGTTATAATATATGTATTATATTATTATAATATAGATATAATATATATATTATACTATTATAATATAGAATTATATATTATATATTATATATTTATATTATTATTAATATTATATTATAATTATATTATATTATTATATATATTATATTATATTATATTATATAATATAATATTATATTATATATTATATTATATATATATATATATATATTATATATATATATTATATTTATATTTATATATATATATATATTATATTATATATATATATATATATTATATATATATTATATTATATATATAATTATATTATATTATATATATATATTATATTATATTATATTATATATATATATTATATTATATTATATTATATATATATATATTATATTATATTATATATATACATTATATTATATTATATATATATATTATATGTATAAGTATAATTATCGTCAAAATTATTACAATCGTTTCCATATACTTCACAGGTATAGGGATAGCATTTCATATTTCCTGGAAACTGGAAAGACTGTCTCTACCGTTGCAAATTACTGTCCTACACATGTCAAGCTGGTCGTTCGATTCCAATTTCTTTTTCGGAATTATTTAATTATTCTGTAGATTGATTATTCTACGAAATATAAAAGTTTTCACAGAGAAACACACATAGTAATGATTCATAAATTCCAACACATCGGAAATATACATACTGAAGAAATATGTCTGCACATATTAAAGAACTTGAATAAATAACACATATTAAATACATTCTAAAAGAGATATATGTATATATATATATAATTCAAGCTTAGTACTTTCATTTAAATTCGGACAATAGATATTTACCTCCATTTCTGAGATCGCCATCAGGTAACAACCGACATCCACAACTTCTAGCTCACAAATCCAACTTTATTTAGAGTGTGTCTCAAAGTATTTTGGAATTTCTTACTTTCTGATTTTCAATTTAAAACCTTCCAAAGCCGGCACTTAGTTTAATTCTTAATAACAAATAAATTTAACTTTATGTCACTGAAAACTTCACTTTCCTTCACTTTGAGAAATGGTCTTCACTGACCGTGAATTTGGATATTTCTTGATTCCTGATTTTTGGTTCTTGAATGTCAAGATTCAGAACACGAAGAACCGAACCAATTTGTCAAGTTGAGTTTTTTTTTTTTTGATTTGCGAAGTAAAAAATTTAATTCTAAGTCAATGCAGATTAACAAAACAAATGAACAAATGAACAAAAACCGAAAATGTTACTCCGTGGAAAAAAACGTAAATTAACCACACGAAAAAACAATATAACGGAGACAAGTGAAAAAATAAGTCTAAGCGTTCAGCGATTCGCGACTCTGTGTGAAGCCCAATTTGAAGAATTTTCTAAATGTTTATTTATGCTCCAAATTCACACCGCCCTCTTTTTGTTTGTCTTTATTATTGTGTGCTCCTTGCTGTTGTCTTTCTTATTTTTAATTAAACGACATAGCAATGTTGCCACCTGTTTGCGAATTGGTTAATATATTTTTGTTATAAAAATTTTGTTTTATATAAATAAACGAATCCAGTTATGTATATATATATATATATTTTAAATACCATATAGCTTGCTGATATATTTTATATATAATATATTAAGTACGTAAATAAAACTATTTACGAACAATTATTTTTCAAATGAATCAAAATTTATTTATACGAAGTTACACTTCGTAGGCACGGAAATACTACACTCTGCCGATAAAGCAGTGAAAAATGGTAGTGTTGATTAATATTTTAGTATTTTCATAAACTCTCGTTTAATAAATCATTGAAACATTATTACAAAAACGGAATTATTACAAAAGCAAAACTATAATAACATAAATATTATGTTTATATAGTAAATTATTATAGTAAAAGTTTAATATTTCCCTAGTTGAGTCAGCCATTTTAACACTTTTACTCTCTTTTAACTGACATTTCTTCATAACCCCTCTCTACGCCTTGTTTTGGATTATTGTTCACCACTTCAACAGACTAAGCAACAGTATTTATGTATTTTAATTAGGAATATTTTTGATTTGCGCTACTAAGATTTAAACAAGTAACTAAACACACTTTTAACCATAAAGTTATTACCCTTTAATGTACGCTATTTTAACAATATGTATGTAGTGTAAAGACAAATATATTTAATTTGTACTATACAAATTAAATATTTTTATTAAAACATAACTAATTACCATTACGCGTAACAGTAAAAGCAACACAATTCAATCTATCCTATAATAACAAAATGTATCTCATACAGCGATGTTTTTGATTTACACTACTGACATTTAAACCAGTAACTAGTAATTACTAACACATATATTAAGTTTAAATATTTTCGTTAAAAAAATTTAAAAAAAAACTAGTGACAAGTGATATTACACATACTATCATGTAACAAAAATTTGTTAGTTACATTAAAAATCAAAAATGATTTAACTACTAATTTTATTTATATCATTAAATCATTAATAAAAATCTTATTATTTGAAAATATAAAGTTAAAGAATTCAAATTTTTTGTTTTTATTTTAAAAATTTTAATAACTGTACAACTGTTCATATTTCATACAATTATTTATCAAACGACGAAAATCTAACAGCCAACATAACCAAAGATTCTTGGATTTTAATTTATGTAAATGAAATAATCACAGTTTAACCAGAGATTGTTTAAAATTATTTAAAATAATTTTATATACATATTGATATATTTCATTTATTTTCAAATAAAAAAATTGACTGTTACTATACTCAAAGGTACAAAAAAATTATACTGCAAAAAGTAATTTATCCACATAAATTTTTGAAAATTTCTAAAAAGTTGATATACAACATTAAAAACCAAGTTTTTGGCAAGAAGTTTGACATTACTCGCACAATCACACAAAATGCAGAATACATCATCATGGAAGAAGGCAAACAATTTAACAATTCTAGAAAAAGATAACGAAAATATATAAGAAAAATTTTACTGCTAACATTGAAATACAAACGTGTGTTATTTACCAAAAAGTTGTCTCAGAAAAAAATTCACATAGCAAGTTTCTGACAAATTTCAAACAAATTTGTATGCGTTATTGAAAACGTGAAGGTGTATGCAAATATATTGCTATAAACTTGGCAGTGTAGACGTTAGGTTAATTAATGTGACAACAATTCTTTATTCTATCTTAACTTTCTTTTCATACTAAAATCTTGAACTTATTAGTATTACTAATGGAAAAAAATTAAAAAAATAACTTTAAAACTCAATATTTGAAAGGCCAAGTAATATCAGCATACAGCGTTTCAAATACGTCGTAAAACCCAGTAAAAAATATTTTAGACAAATTTCACAGTCATACATTAAGTCTTTATAGTGACTTAAATCATGTTTAAATTATTAATTTTACTGACTTAATTCATACTTTCAGTTCAGTTTTGAGACTTAATTTACGAAATCCAATGATTATACTTTTTTAAATCGGATTATACAAAAAAGGGAAAATTTAAGAAGTTGACTTTAAGAATTAAGTTTAGATTATTTAATGTTTTATATAGGCCGTGTGCAAGTTCGAGTAAATTGAGATAAAGTAAATTGAAATTTCCTAGAAATTTTTTGCACTGCACTTATGTAAATATTTTTTTTTTTTCTTTTGTTTATTATTTTTAATTAAAAGTTTTTAAATTTATTTATTTATGTTTATTAAACATCTTAAAAATTTTTTACAATGGTAACATCTAATTTACTCTACTTGAAATTCTGTTAAATACCAAGATTCGCTGCCATACCGACATAATTTATTATTTCCCTCAATTTACCATCAATTTACACAAACTCGCACAAGGCCATAATTATATATATATTAATATTATATTATTAGGTTTTGGTTTTTTTTTGGCATCAATAAAGTCACTAACGAATATCTGGCATCACTACGTATACACACGGGCGCAATGAAAATAGAACAAAACATACTAAAAGAAGAAAAGAAGAAATTGTTATGCGGCAATGAAGTCTAAAATTTGTACACCACTGCTGTCAGCAGAAAGTAAAAACAAGAAGCTATAATGTATGTAAAAAAAATATAAGAAAACATGTTCAAAGCAAGAAAAAAACCTATGGAATGGAAGCCAGCAGCAGCTGCTGAACAACAACGTAAACGTAGCAAGCAAAACGACGAAAGCGACCACCACCAACAGCAACAAAAACACAAATTTCGGTGGAGGCAGAAGCAGAGGCAGAGGTAGCCAAAGCAGTAACCCGCCTAACACTGCGAGCAGAGCAACTAACAAAACAAAGTGATACACTCGCTGCACTGTTTTTTTTATGTACTTAAATAAAATTTTATTTTGCCCTGAGTAGCTCGAAATTGACGACGAAGTAGTACTTGTTTTTTATTTGAACTTTTTTTTTTATAATTTGTGTTTATTCCGTTTGGTTGGAACTTAACTGTCGTTCGTTTCTAAAGTGTGCAACAACACAACACACAACAACAGCACAAATTATACAAAAATATATATGAAAAAATGGTGGCGATTCATGCATACAAAATTAAAATAATAAAATTGCATTCAAAAATTATTTGTTGCTATAGCAAACAGAAAAAGAAACAGAAACGAGAAGAAAATAAATGTTTTAAGTTTAAGTCGCTTGGAATGTTAAAAGAAACTCTGGCTTTGATAACAGGACAAGGAATGCGCTAGTGTTTGTTTTGCTTTTACTGAATTGAATGTTCCTTACCTTTGATGAATTCTTTGAGCTGCTCACCGGATATGTTCCTGTAGCCCAATTCATTTAAATACTCCAAAATGGCGCGTGCATCCAAAGGCAAATGTGACATTTTTTAAAACAGCATTCGAGCATCGAAAGTTCCAATTGCAAAATAAGAAAATTTCCACTTTGTTTCTCGTAAGCACTTTTTCGTTTCCACTTTGTTTTGTTTTCGCAATTATTTTACTGATTGATACAATTTTCAGCTTTTTATTTTACGAGACAAAAATAGCAAGTTTTTTATTATAAACTAATTTCACACGAATTAAACGAAAGAAAAAAAAAACAAAAAGCTGAAAAAAGGCAAAAACCAATCCCAACGCTCTTTTTCGTCTTGTACACCTCTGCTTTGTTCGTTACCTACAGCTCGTGTAATTGTATATATTAGTTATGTATTTTCACAATTCACTCATAAGTTAATTTATGCAATTAGTTGAAGTTATTTGCCAATGTTTAATGATATTTTCTACAAATATTTTAATATTTTTAACAAATATATCGAATACTAAAAATTTTCAGCACTCGTTGCCGACGCTCCGTTTTTTTCTTCTAATGTTAATTTCGTTTTGCTTCGTTTTTCTGCTTCTTTCTCTACGTCTGCGTTGTGTGGTGAATTTCGCTGATTGACAATTCAAATGGTTAATTTTATAGGGATGTATTTGGACGCAAGGCAGAGTTTATGGAGTATCACTCTTTTTATATTATTTGAAAATGATTTTGAAGACTCAGATAAAATATAATAGGTCTGTTCCATAAGCTACTCGTAGTAAATTTGAGTAACACTGTGTATACACAAGACCGTTCCACCAGCAAATTTTCGTGCAAATTTTACTTGCATTTTACTACAAGCAGCTCGTTGGACAGAACTAATTTAAAACAACAAAAATATTTGTATAGCACCACAACTGTTAATTATAAATATATATATAAATGGTATAAGGTCGTGTGTGAGTTTGAGTAAATTGAGGTAAAGTAAATTAAAATTTCCTAGAGATTTTTTGCACTGCACATATTTACGCTTATGTATTGCACTTATATATTATTTTTCTGTTAAAATAATTTACTATTTCCCTCAATTTATCATCAATTTACTCGCACTCGCATACGGCCTAAATATTGAAAATTTATTTCATTTTAATTTTTATATTACAAAAAAATTATTTCAGTGTAATATTACTAAGTACATACATATGTATATAACTTGACAAATTCGAAAGATTTTGTTAAATCCTACGATCTTACTTTTATTCTATTAAAAATGTGAATAAACTAATATGTCTTACAAACCAACGTTTTTTCGATTTTGTATTTGCCACAATCTTATCAAATCATAAATATTTTAAGTAGTAATGAAGTAAAATATTAAAATGAAACATTAGTTTCAATCTCTTTATTTTTAATTGCCATTCACAATAGATTATGAATAAACATTAAGGTTACTCATCTCAGTATATGATATGTACAATTTTATGTATTTATATATATGGTTACATGCACGCATTTAGGTCGTGTGCGAGTTAGGCTAAGTTGCGTTCTAAATGAGGGAAATTCTAAGTTGTGCCGATAATATAGTGATGTGTCGATACATGTTGATAAATGGCTAAATGTGTGCAGTGCAAAAAATCCCAAAAAATCTCCCATTTTGTTTAGCATCAATTTAGCCTAACTCACACACGCCCTTAGTCACATGACTGGCCAAAGTTATAATGTGAGATTTTATGTACATGAAACTAAGTTATTTAGGACGTGTGCGAGTTAGGCTAAGTTGCGTTGTAAATGAGGGAAATTCTAAGGTCAGCCGATAATGTAGTGATGTGTCGATACGTGTTGATAAATGGCTAAATGTGTGCAGTGCAAAAAATCCCAAAAAATCTCCCATTTGGTTTAGCATCAACTTAGCCTAACTCGCACACGACCTTAATATCTTTTTGCAATAATTTTCATAAAATGCACAAAATTTAAATAAAATCTAAAAAAAACGCTAACTGAATTAAATTCAAGAAAATAATAATCGTATTTTTTAAAAAGTAATTTTATAGTTAAATCACTTTTTAAATAATTATTAAAAATAACCTTTGGCGATATAAGTCTAATAAAAGATTATAAAAATTTATAACATTAGGCTTCCTCATGATTTCTATTTAGCATGCTATACTTAAACAGCTGAAATGTCATGAAATCTTTATGTGTGACTTTATTTCAATATTTTTAAAATACACGAAAATTCTGCTAAAAAGTCAAAAACTTAAATTAAACTATGGCCTTGTGCAAGTTCAAGTAAATTGATGGTAAATTAAGGGAACTAGAAAATTATGGTGGTATGGCAGCGAATTTTAGTTTTAACTAAAATTTCGAGTAGGGTAAGTTAATTAAAAATTAGGTAAATTAGATATTACCATTGTGAAAATTTTATAAGATGTTTAATAAATAAATAAATAAATTTGAAAACTTTTAAACAAAAATAATAAATGAGTGTAATAAATAAATAAATAAATATATAAATAAATAAATAAATATTTACATAAGTGCAATGCAAAAAATTCCTACATGTATTACTGAAGAGCACTGCATTACCTACGTGACAAGGCACAGATAGCCTCAGCTATCATGATCAAATTTGACCCGAGACATTGTTTTTGCTGTTACTCACAATTTTATAATTTGTCTTGGAAACAACAACAATTTTGTTTGTTGTGTAATACATAAATATAATATATAAATATATATATAGGACGTGTGCGAGTTAGGCTAAGTTGACGCTAAACCAAATGGGAGATTTTTTGGGATTTTTTGTACTGCACACATTTAGCAATTTATCAACACGTATCGACACATCACTACATTATCTGCACAAATTAGAATTTTCCTCATTTAGAACGCAACCTAGCCTAACTCGCATACGACCATAATATATAATATATAAAATAAATAATATTATAATTTAAAATAATAATATAATATATAATATAAAAAATTATTTATTTCTACATATTTTCACCTTCGTAGTCAGTGGTGAGACTTGTACGAAAAGTTTATTAAAAATACGTTGAAGTATTGTCAACTACCGCTTCTACTACTTTTTAAAAGTAGCAATTGGGAGCACCGGCGTAAATTCACTCGCGTTGTTAAAGCAAAGAACAAAATTAATTGTGATTGTGACAGAAGCGTGAATAAGTTGAAATTGTTACGAACAATTATTGTAAGGAATTGAAAGTGCAATTCGAAAAGTTCTATCGTAGTTTTATATATTTGTGGTATTGTGGTATTGTACAAAATGCAAAAAAATTCTTTCGTTTGGTGTTTTTTGTTTTTCGGTGAGTTTTGCTGTTTTCGAATTTGTTTAATATTTTCCTTTAATATCATATGTGTGATCTTTCGTCCATCTCAGTTGCTTTAAATGCTGTTGCAATAGCTGCAGGTCGGGCGAGTGGTCGTGACACTGCTTACTCGAGAAGGCAATATTATGGCTACGGCCAGCAACCCCAACAACCTGCAACACAGCCACCACCGCAAACGCCTAAAGAATATTTAGATAAAAAATCTGGATTATCAACTTTCGGAATTATAACCATAATATTTTTTGCCATTGTATGTTGCCTGATATTCTATTATGGTATTATGTGCTATCCGTTATTGTGTAGAGAGGAGAAAAATTATCGCTTTATGGACGTATCCTCCACAATGACTGGGGCAACGTCACGCTCAATACAATCCATTGAAAACTATCCTGTAGATCAGAAACATTAGAAGAAACAGTTGATGCAGCCAAAAATTACATGAACCGATGCCAATTTGTTTTCTTTACTCGAAGGATGCAACATGAAAGACTACAAAATAATTTAACTTAAAATGTTTGGTATGGTATTTAATTAATTAAGATAGTATATAAGTTTATTCCAAAGGAATTTGTCATATAAATATTTTGTTATCGGTTCAGTTTAGTAAGAAATGAACGCACCGCACTAAGGATTATTAGCCAGCATTTATATGTGTATACAAAATTAGAATTTAAAATGATTAATTTTTTAACTCATTTGCTTGACTCACATATGGAAGTTTCTATATAAATTTCTGGTATTTTTATAGCAGGCAAACTAGTATAGTAGTAATCAAGGAAAACCAGAAGCAGATATCACAATACAACAATAATACAAATATTGAAGAAAAACCAAAAACAAAAAAAAAACAAAAATATTTGGCTGTAAATCACAAGGTACAATTTTCACTTAAAAGCAAACCCCTCAAGCTATTGTTTTCTCATTATAAGAAATTTTAACGGCCCTTCATATCGCTTCTTCACACAGCGCAGGTACTCGATTAACTTAGATTTTGTAAGCAACAGATATTTCTGATGAACTGCACAGTACATTCGGTATACAATGACTTTCTTACAATCACACCAATGACACCAAAGGAAATGAGTCACCATTTACTAAGAATTTGGTTTTATATATATTTTTTTAAATATATATTTAATGTGTCATAACCACAACAAATTTGAGGTAATTTTTTTTTCTAAAATAACAAAAAACAATGCATTTTGCTATATATTGACTGTAGTGTGTATATTAAAGTCACTCTAACCGTTCTACCACTGCTGTCTACCTGTTGTAATCAAACGGACAGCAGATTAGAATGGTAAGATGAATTGGGTTTGTCTGGCAGTATCTGTCCAAGTATCTGACTTTTTGTGATTTTCACATCGAATCGAATCGAATTCTATGATTTTTTCTTCTAACAAAATAAATTTCTGTTTATAATTGTTTTATTACTAACTGTGTTGCGTTGTACATCACTTGAATTAAATCTCATACAAAACAGAATTTTATTCTTCACTGTTAAGGAAATTTAAAGGAAATTAATGTCTCAGTATGTACATATATGTATATCAATTGAATTATTTATGCCAATACACAAATGAATTATTTATAAAATGTGTGCTTTAGAGTTGACCAGAAACACTTTTCTTTCTTTCTTAATCAATTTAAATTTTATTTTCTTCTGTTCAATCAAATCAAATTTATACCAATCAGTAACAGTAAGTCGTCTCTCTCTTTTTACAGTAATTGTGATTCAATTAAATTTTACACTAGTTTAGGCAGGCAAAAGTATTTTTGCAATTATATATATATAGAAACTTTAATTATATTCTGTTAGAGGAAGATATGCTGGGCTTTATAAACTATAAGCCCAGCTGATGCTAATTAATCATTTAAATAACTTATCAGAACTAATAGAGCTGTTATTACAGTGGACATCCAAATGGTCACAGACACTAACTAAAGTAAAAGTGCTTTAGACACTAACTCGAGTTTCATTCAGCAAAGATAAGACTTACTATTATAAGTTATTATATACACTGCCAGAAATAAAACACAGTTAGACTATGAAAAACACAAAATTTTCCATTATGTACTATTTCACATCTTTTTTCAACATTTGTTTTTGAGAAAATATTAAAAAAAAACAGATTACATATAAATCAAAAATATAATCATTCTTAAAAGCTTTATATAATATATAAAACATTATTGGGAAAGCAATGATATTACTATTTATATTGATGAACTTTTTCAAACTTTTGAGCATAGAAGTTATCAATTTTTAACTTGTCTCCAAACCAATTTAGTTTCATTAGTTTGCTAAGATATTTGTCAATATATTCTTCTTCTTCTTATTTGGCACTACAGTCCAGTATGAACCTTGGCCTCCCTCACGATCTGCCTCCAACTGTGCCTATCTTCTGCTACTCAAGGTTGAATAGCGGTAACATTTTTGCGATGCAGGATTGCTGGCGTTACGATCAACCCCCAACTTGGAGGGTCAGATCTTCTTATTTGCTATTTGTCAATATATCAAATGCTAAATGCTTAATTGAATTTCAGGCATGTAATCAGAAGAAGCTGAAGCCTCAAAAAAATATATATTATATATATATCAGAAATATATATTATGTATATATCAGAAATATATATTATGTATATATCAGAAATTTATATTACATATATATCAGAAATATATATTATATATATATCAGAAATATATATTATATATATATCAGAAATATATATTATATATATATCAGAAATATATATTATATATATATCAGAAATATATATTATATATATATCAGAAATATATATTATGTATATATCAGAAATATATATTATATATATATCAGAAATATATATTATGTATATATCAGAAATATATATTATATATATATCAGAAATATATATTATATATATATCAGAAATATATATTATATATATATCAGAAATATATATTATGTATATATCAGAAATATATTTTATGTATATATCAGAATTATATATTATATATGGTATATATCAGAAATATATATTATTAATGCATCACTTCTGTTTTATATGATAAAAATATTTTGGTGAATGTTGAAACTGAAATTATCTGAAAACTCATCCCGAAGTAAATTTCAGGAGGAGTTTTTTGAATCTGATCGAATTTATCAGATCCGAGAATTGCGACGTAATTCTTTAATATAAAAACTGTGTTGTACAATATTCATTCATTCCAGATTATGGTAGTATGGACTGATTGTTTTGTTAAAAAAGAAACTGTAGTGTACGATTCATCTTTTTTATACTTTTTTAAAGACTTTCAAAAAAGTCTTTCTTAAGACCATTTTTTTGGTAATAATCCCATCAATGAAAACGAGTATTTCAATACTGAATAGTGGCACCATACACAGCTATTAAGGGGCAACATTACGACTAAGTTTAATTATAGAAATAGTGTTTTTCTTATACATTTTAAAATATTTTCTCTATAAACAATGGTGTGATGGTTCAACTATAACTCAGTTATATGTTGCATTTTCTATAATCTAATTAGAGTATATCGTTTCTTTAACAAATACTATCCTCTGTTTACGGTTAACTCAATTATTGCAGTGATAAATGTCAAATACAAATGATCATTCAATTCAATATAGGTTTAGTTTAAGGTTTAAGAACTTATAATATAGATCGTTTAACAACCGCTGAACATGTGAAATGACTCGTTTTGAAGAAAGAAACTAAATTCATATTATATATTATTGTTTTCAATAGGGAGATTTTATCGAAGAGTAGTTTTATCCTTTAATTCTCATATGAAAGATATCAGACATAGTGATTGCACAAGCACATATAAAAATAAATATTCAGTTTTTGTATAAAGTACTAACCTTATATATAGAAATATATGATTCTTAACGCACGATTAAACAGAAGTACCTCACTAGTTACTATATTCTATATAGGTAAATGGATTTCAGTAAGAAACGTAAGCTATTATAATGAACGACTCTTGTTAATCGTGCGTTTGAAATAATGTTGAATTGCAAGCGTTGCCACAATGTATTAAAGACGGTTATATTAATAAAAAAAAATATATTTTTTAAATGCTAAAAATTGCTCAAGTACTTATAAGAACACGAATATATAGAACACAATATCAATGCGGTTGATATATCCTTTGCCTTTAATTTTATCTTAAAAAAAGTTATTTAATATTACGTTTATTGAATCCGATATAAATTAATTTTTTTTTATTAATAATTAGACTCATTCGAAATTGTTCCAGTTTAAGTGAATTGTACAGCAGTTCCAGGTTTTTGGTTCCCTATTGATAACTCACTTGCCTTTCCAAAATCAGAGATTTGCTGACTTTTAATAATTATTCTGCTTGTTTGAACCAAAGTTTTAGGTAGCATACTTCTTTGAAAGTACTACGGAGCTGCTGTACATGTAAATATAGTTATATTGATTTACAAACTCGAATAAAGACTTGAATATAAAAGACGTTAAGAAACATTATTTACTGCGTACGATTGGAGAGCGAACTTGGCTACGTGAATTTCATCCCGTCTAAGCGACTTACCTAACATAAGCATGCAACTAAGCCAGCATGGCTAAGCGATAAAACTCGCTACTATACTAGCTTAGTTCTTTAGTTAAAATAGCGTTGCCACGTATTCTTGTTAAATGCTTATTAAAAATAACTTCTTTTTTTTTAAATTTTAAATGTTTTAAATACAGTGAAAGGTAACGATATTATTTATCTTAAAAGTTAAGATTATGTTTTATTCACAAGCCTCTAGGTTTCGCTAATCGTACGCAGCAATTATTTAATAACAGAATGGAGAAAAAGTATTAGGCCTTTTTTATGAAGTAAATTTTGTGTAATAAATGATGAATAAAGTGCGAAAAAGTCAAAAACTGGCCAGATATATTTATTACTTTTTGCTCAACTTGATATTTTTATATGCAGTATATATACAAAAATATCGTGATAGTCTTAAGACTGTCTGGAAACGATTGTACTTAATAATTGTAAAAAATAAAAGTTTATTGTTATTGCAATTTAAGACATTAATTAAAGTTCAAAGTTTTTATTTAATAAAAAATAAAAATTTTTGGAAAATTTTATTAAAATTCACATATATATAAAAGACTTAAATAAATATATAATATCTAGTATATAATATATAAGACATATATGCATATATTTAAAGGAAGAAGGCTCTCTCTTAGCCATAATTGATCAAAATGTTTTTACCTAAATTTACAATAAATAAAAAATATAATAATTTTACTATATTAATTGTATACAAATTTTATACAAAAAGCGTATTTTTTAAAAAGTGTATGTATTTTATATACATTGTATTAGCATAAATGTATATGTATTTATTTATTTTTTTATCTGAAGATGTTCGAATTTTATGTATTTTTGATAAATGTATTTTATAAAAAATGTTATACAACAATTTTGTAATAAATATTAAAAATTTTTATACATTTTTCTATAAAAATCGTTGTTTTCGTAATTTTTTAATATAACATCTAAATATTATATATAGTAATCTCTTCTATAACGCGGGGGATGTCAATCCCCCGTATAAAGCGGGGATTTTTACAGTACATAATTGGCTTTACGTTTAGCTTCGCGTACCTTTGCACGTGTGTATACGGGGTACACGGGAATACCACTATAACGCGGAACCAATCTACCGCGTTATAGAGGAGATTACTGTAACTATTAAATATATTATTAAAGAATGTTTTATAAATTATTTGCATTTGTTTAGTAATTGCAATGATGTTTGCATTATTATATATAAAATCTATTCTGGTAAAAATAGTAATGGTTATGGTTATAACATACCACTCGGGTTATGTTATGAAGTCAGAGACAAACTGCTAAAAGTCATAGTTTTATATATAAATATAGTATATTTATAAAAAAGAAATTTTGAAATTAGTCTTTTTTATGTATTGGCTGCGCTGTCAGTTCAACAGCAGCTTTTTTTATGGTAACAAATTTAGATGAAAAATCTTCTAAAGACCCAATTTATGTATAACTTTTTAAGTCAAGCTTACTAGGGGATTAAAAAGGTTCCATATGCTCAACACCAAAACCTGTAGTACGATCAGTTAATGTACTTGCAACATAAGTAATGGAAGTAAGAAAAGCACTAATCGTGATTTATTTCATTTAAATTCTATAGATTTTATCAATTTATCATTACAGAGATAACGTTCTTATACAAGTTCCACTCTATAATAATTGCCGTCATCTGCTTTACCAAGAAAGTAAGGTTGGCTTCGTCAATTAGAATTATTATATTTTGTCTGGTATCAACATATTTTGTACGCTCTCTAAGTATATGGTCTGGACTTTCAATTTTATCTGGACAAAAAAAAAAAAAGGAGTTGCGATTACTTGCGAGTCCGAATCGGTATAAGTGTTCATGAAAATTTCCATATCCAGTTAAAACCTGTATCAATTAAACTCCAAAGTCACCAGTTATTCGATTAATATACAATTTTGTTTAAAGGCACCGATGTTGCCATTCATTAGGGTCTTTGTCCCTGATATAAGAAATTGACAAAAATTGTCCACTTTAAGTGTTTTCTATATGTGAGCGCTGAATTATCATTAAGGAAGTTACTTAAGAAGTAGAATTATATCATAATCGTTAAGATTTTCATAACTTTTTTCAAAAGGAAAATTTTTTTCGTTAGACCTTCGCTTACTCAACATTTTGTGGCGTCACATAACGTTACTGTGATATCATAATATCTCTATTCTTCATACGACTTCGAGCTATGACTTTTTTCTATTTCGCAAACTCCAAATGACACTTAAAGGATAGTGTTTTTGAAACTTTAGATGATGACTATACCTAAAAACGCATTTAAATAGTGTTTTTTGTAAACACGGATCGAGCCCAAGACTGCACTGTGTTTTAATAGTGTTTCTCAATCACAGAGCAAGTATAAGTCTATACCGAGACGTTTGAGTAGTGGTTTCTCAATTACAAATCTAGTCGAAGCCTAATATCGAGAAATTTGAGTAGTGGTTTCTCAATTATTATGCAAGCCCAAGTCTATACCGAGACGTTTCAGTAGTGGTTTCTCAATTACAAATCTAGCTGAAGCCTAAT